ACTAAATATTTGCAGATAGCAATACCAGTATTATAGGGCTTGCCAACAAGCAAGCAACGTTGCTTATGTAACCTGTGTACCCGACATTGAGTACTCCTAGTTCCAGACTTTGAATGCAGGGTCTAGTAGGTCTGTGGCTTCAGCCCTTGAGTTTTTATGCTGTTTCTGATCCTTAAAGACGCATCCCTTCTTTTTGAGCCTGGTTCTATCTTTTACATTTTCCCTTGAAATATTTTATCTATTATTGTTGTGTTTGGAGTTATAGAGGAGTGCCAGTCCCTAGTGAGAACTTCAAATGACACCTCAGGTAATATGATAATCGCATTACTAAATTAATGGTTCATCTTAAATATTGATTTGTATATTAAAAAATTAAGGATCCTAGAAAGCATCAGGTTATAGATAAAAATGAGTTACAATGTCTCATTTTTAATGTATGTATGAGGACCTTCTGTGGACCCTAAAGTCACATACCATGTGGGTGGGCTCATTGGTAATGAGTGCCCTGCACATATACAAAATTTATCCACTCATTTCCTTTTCTTAAAGTAGCTAAGATCTTGGCCCAGTAGCTAAGATCTTTTCCTAGCTTAGTTTGATGGAGCTGCTTCTACACCAAATATTCCATGATCCAAATTGCAACTTTAGACTTGATACCATTTTTATCGTAGCCTGTTTAATATTACGCTTCCAACAGTAACTAATTCAGTCATTCCCTTCCTTAGGAATCAGTACTGAGGCCTGTTCCTGGGTATTCAGTGCTGAGTATATGCATCAAGAAAATCATGTTGCTGCTAACCTAATGTGGATATTTGGAATGAGTATTAGGAAATCCTATGCTCTTTACCTTCAGGCTCATCTTACACTTGACTTCAGCCCATTTCACTGAAAGCTCTTATTTTATGATATGCTAACTCCTGAGACTTCCTACTTTTCTAAGCTGCAAAAATAAATCTTGAAGATTTTCAAAATTCAATTCAGATTTGGTAGAAAATATTCTGTAAAAAGTGTAAGTCCTTTGGTTTTAGTTGCGTGTAGACAGAGGGGCAGAAAGCTGGGAGATGGTAGGTGAGGGGCTATTGCTTTTCAGGTGCCTTTTAACCCTTTGTACTCGCTTGCTTTTTTCTTGATTCCTTTATTCTACTCAGGATTTAATTTTTTAAATACCCTAGATTTTAAAAAGCACGGCAGTAGAATAAAAAACTGGAGTTTCTTTTCATACAAACTTATTTATTTGGATTTTTTAATATTTCAAATTATCGATACATTCAAAGAGTAATTTTAATCTCTATAATTTTTGCTGTGTCGAGTCACACTCGACATCTGAGTGCAAAGGGTTAAGACATTCTTAACACACCTCTGCCTCCCCACTCCCCACACAAGAGATGCTCACATTTAAGAAACATCTTCACAATAACACACTCCAGGTTGGGAGCAATTCCCAGGGATCTACCTACTACCCAATCTCTTCTCCTCCACTCAAGAAAGTCTTGTTAAGTAGGAACAGCACACGAGGATTTAACCTGAGAACTGCAGTAGATTCTATTTGGTGTCTGTACTACACTACTTCACAGATGGCCACAAATGCCACCCAACCCTCACAGGATTCTTTAGCTCTTCAGCTAATTGCCAAATGAAAGCAGTTTCCTTTCCCACTATTAATGACCACAAGCCCATTTCTACAAACTTGCTATTTTTGGAACATTAATCGAAAATTAGTCAGCTGAGAAAGACTAAGATTTATTTAGGTAATAACCAGACAGCTAATCTGAAGAAGGCACATTCTTCAACATCCACAAGAAACAAATACAAAAGCAATCAGTTACGTAGAAAGGGAATGCCAAGAACTCTGACATTAACACTGGCAGAGCCCCTTTATTTTTTTAAGTACAAATAAGCAAAATGCAGTTGGGGTTGAAAGTCAGTGTGCTGCTTCTTTCTTTTATGACAGGGATGGCAAACAGGTTTAAATTTCTTGTGATCTCTGATGAACCAGGAGAAACCTGCCTGGAGTTTTGTGTTGATATGATGCTGAGGCCTGTTTGGGCTAGGGGAGAAGGCAGCCTGGGACTGCTGTGGGGCTGGGGCTGGCAAGCATAACATCTTGCCAGCTCTGCCTACTGCAATGGTATTCAGCCTGTCGCTTCCTAAGTCTGAACTATCCTTTTTGGTTCATATAACTGTTCTTAGCCAAGAGCAAATTTAGTTTATGAGCCTCATTAAGGAAAAGTGGGAGACCACTTCCCAATACAAGAACCAATTTATGTATTTTTGAAGACATCAAAGCAGGCCACACAGACAATGCAGGTAATACTGGAAGGAAAGGCATTGAAGCCTTAATTATTTATGTCTTTGCATATTAGAAGATGCTGATTGTGTTCTCAGGCAGTTTGAATTGGTCTAGTGCACTTTGCTGCGTAGACTCAGAAGTTATAGGGCAGTATGTTAGTTGGAAAAGAGTTTTAACAGCCCAGCCTCATTAGAATAAGGCAAATTTAGGCCCACGTCATTATGTATTTTGCAACCTAGTATCTAAAACTTGACATAAATAAAAATAAGGCTTATTTTAAAGTCATGTGGGGAAATTTTACATGGATATCTAACTTTATTTAGTTTCCTGTAACTGGTAACATCATCTTTGCCAATCTATTATTCACAACAAGTATTTCCTATAAAGATAAGCATTGATTTTCCTGTTGAACAAGTGATGCAGTGTTCAAGGTACCTGAATTTTGAACAAAAACCAAAATCACAAGTTCTCAATAAGTAAATCTTAAAATGAAATATACTCAGATTGGTGAAGACATTAAAATGAAGATTAGCATTTAACTATATATTCAACTTGAAAAAAAGATAAAAACTGCTTTTATAAAATATTATGGTCTTTATAAAGATGTACTGGTTTAACAATAAATAATAAAAGGTTTCATGTTTAAAAAAAGTTTCATGCTGCTATTTGAAAGTATTTCTCTACAAATAAACTGTGCATGGATGAGCCTTATTCCCATTAAATGATGCACTTTCACATGCTGTATCTGTATCATTTTAACATCAGTGCTCGTTATGCTTCCTGTCTTCAACAGATAAAAGTATAAATCAATTAAAAGCTATTTAAAGGGTCAAAATTATCTCAGTGGCTGGCACTATTTAGCCGATTCATTAGCTTAGAGGTTGGTGAGTCATAGGCATGCTAGGCCTTACCATACAACTTAGAGGCTTCCAAATGAAATATATTACTTTATTGATTGATTTAAAAAATTGAAACAGAAACAAATTAACATCACTATCTTTAGTAATATGAACTCCCTGGAACTTCTGTCAATCCCTGGCAACTAAATAGAAAACCTAAAATTTATTCTAAGGTAAAAAACAAATCTAAATACAGTTTCTGACTCTGCCACTTGCTTCTACAAGGTGTTACTCAAGAAGTAATTTATATTTATGTACAATGTAATAAAAGTTGTTCTGGATAGTAATTAAGTGGTGATGTTTAGTTATTATGTATGATATCGTATGTCCACAAATTACTTTCTAAGTCAAATAAGCAAATTACCTGTTCCAATAATGAAAAATTAACTACTAGCTACAGAAAAGGAAATTTGAAAACTGGAAAAATGTAAAAAATAGAAACAATTGAATAGAAATTAACCTAAGAGAATATATTAGATTTTAATTATTTGTACATTTATAAAATATATAGTTTATGCTTTAAAAATAATTTTATTCATAGAAAGACCCAGAATACACTGCTTCTTTTTAAAATGATTTTTGAAATAGTGAACAGAAAACTGAAAACAGTCTTAGTTGATTGCACTTACACATGGAAGGAAAAGTGTTTTTAAAAAGGATAAACAGTTAAAAAAAAAAGGGAATTGTGACTTTTAGAACTTTGTTTTTTGAAATTTTATTGAAAGTAAATGATGAAAAATCATATTCAATTGAAGGAAGAGTAAAAATATTTGTTTCAAGTGTGGTCTGAATCACTCACAGAGATTAGATACATGCATTCCATACTGGTTACTCTATAGATCTGAGGTAGCACAGGTCAGCAGGCCAACATAACAGTTCCACAAGGCACCATTGGTTTTGTGTGATGTAATGCTAGCATCTAAGATCCAGAAATACAGAAAAAAATCAAATATGGCATGTAGATTTTTCTCCAATTTCTTCGAATTTATATTGGATTGACACTGATACTATTTAATACATTCACTATGCTTTGTGTTTGGGTCTTTTCTGAAATAGACTGTAAGATTTCATCAGCATCCCAAATGCAAACTGTTCCTTCAGGTAAGCCCCTACACTCAATTGATCACAACTTAAGGCTTTGGTTAGAACAGATTCATGTGTTTTTCCTGTGGCAGATATTTTCAAATAGATTCTTCCCCATGTCTTTGTAATCTTTTTAGGTATCAATAATGATACCTTCTTAGTGTTTCCTAAAATCCTTCCATAATCACATGACTTAAGAAAAAAAAATGCAATCCTCCTGCCTCAGCCTCCCTAAGTGCTAGGATGACAGGTGTGAGCCACCACACCTGGCCCAGAACATTTTTGGAGTACAGCTGCTCTTACCTTAGCTCATTAACGGAAAAAAAGCACAGTGCCTTACATATAGTATTTAGGGTAAGTGTTCAATGGTTTAAATTCTTTTTTCATACTACTAAAAACTACAAATAGGATATAATCCCACAACTACATTATTAAAGTGAGTTTAAAAAATAATGTGTAATTGAAAAGTTTTCTAAAATTTATCATTGCTTCATAATTGTAATTACTTTTGTCCAATTTCAAACACTGCCTAAAAGTGAGGCTCTACCTTCTTTAGAGCCTCACCCAAGAAAACAAAAATCACTTGATAGTTACTCTGAGAAGAGTATCTTCCTGTGCAATGATTTTGTTGCTGTATTTTGGAATTTAAAATATTCCTCAGTTATAGATACCATGCTATATATTTCAAATCTGATTTGCACGAAAAGGCAAAGAAAATAAGTCATCAATTTTTAGCTTTGTCAAGGCTTAGATTATTAAAGATTTTACAAAAAGTAAAATATGGAAACTCTTTTTCTAACATAAGTTCATTTGTGCTTTTCAGGCTATTTCTTCACATTTATCAACCTTCTTCCTCATGAATGGAAGGCCTTTAAACTTTTTCATAAGCCTGTGCCTTCTATAATCAACTCTGAGCTTAGCTTTTAAAAAGGCAACCCCGTTCCTCTATGCTCCTCACAGGCTGGACAGGCAGTACCAGGTGCGAAATACGGCTCCAGAGCCCACTCAGTTTGTCTGAGTCCATGTGGTTGAAGGAGCTGGGAGTGTCCGCGTTGGTAAACTTGGCCCAGAGTAAATCTCTCACTTTTTCTTCAGTTTCCCTTGGGCCTACACTTGCTTCTAATGTTTCCTCTTCTAATAGAACGGTTAGGACCAGAGCCACGTCTTTAAAGGCAGCATTCTCATGATCACAATACTTGTAGAAGATCAAGGTGGAGCCCGCAGGAAGGGACTCAAAGTTGTGTACCACAGCAGCCTTCTGGCCATTCTCAAATCCATAGCTCAGTTCCATATCAACCAACAGCTTGACTGTGTCACTGTCCTGCAAGGTTCTTCCAGCCCCATCAATTTGAATGGCAGAGACTTTCTGGGAATAGGTATAGGCATCTGCAACGTGGTGGCTCAGGCACTTCAGGGTCTCTTTCCCCTCCTGAGCTGCTGTAAATATGATCGTGGCTGGCTCAGTAGGGTTTGTAGCATTGAGGTGCTTCTGGAGAAACTTACGTCCTCTCTGCCAAAGGAAGGAACTCTGACCTGGAAATTTATCCTTCAACTGACTGAACTGAGCCAAGAAGGCCTCCAAAGCTGGATTTTGGGGTACTTGCTGGGCTGGAAATGAATAGTAGCTATTAACAGAATTTAGCACAAAAGCCACAACCAGGAAGCCAACAAAGATGGGGCCTGAAAAGAATGAGAAAGGAATAGAAAATTAGAACGTGAGTCAGAAACAAAGCCTGTGGTAAACTGAAATGAGGCAGAGATATTGTCAGGTTTTACTCTGGAAGTGGTAAGTTTCTTCTGCCTAACTCATTTAATCTTTCTGCTATTTAAGTCTACCAGAAATACCCTTTCTAATCTCTTCTCAGAGTTAATTATTTGAAGATACAATATCCTTGTTAAAAGGTAAAATCTAAGTTTATGTATTTGTTGTTATAATTAATGAAGTAATTTAGAAATGAGCTATCAGGATTTTCCTCTACCTTCTCAAAGTACCTATATAGCAGAACTTTTTTTTAGGGGTCAAACCTTAAAAATGCCACTTGAGAAGTTAATATTCTAATTGAAAGGCAGTTTCAGATTCTTGTTTAAGACAAGTCCTTTCTATTCTGGGAATTTTTTATTCTGTTAAGCACAGCAAAACATTAGCCAGCATTCTTAAGGGAAAAAAAAATCCCTAAAACTCTATTGCTCTATTTTACTATGACTTACTGTCAAACATTTAAAAAAATATATTAATACAATGTTAAAACTATTTAAATTTGCTGATTCTCTAGGCATTCTCACTGAGGATTTCTGAATATGAATCAACACTGCAGTAAAATCACATTTGTTCTTACCATAGCTCCAAAAAGCCTTTTTACTAATCTTTATTATGGCTTCTTGTGCATTCTCTTTCTTTTCTTCCGATTTTTGTGTTTCTTGTTGACGATTTTCAGCCTCTGAGGGGAAAAGGAATCAATATTATTTTCAGACAGTACACTATTGACAGTGTGCATACCTTTATATCTCTCACCAACTCAAAGAATTATTTGACTAAGAGAATTTTGATACTTCGTAAAATTTTCTTTTATACAAAGCTAACTTTTTTCTTGACATTTCCTTAAAGGTTCACTATTACTTTTACTCTACTTAGAAAAATAAAATGAAGTGCTGTGAAATTCTTTCAAGGATGCTGTTGTTACATTCACAATTCCTCACTGCCCCTTACATCAAAGACAAAGAAATAGGCATTCCAATATTGTAGCCAAACCTATCTAAAATGTGACTCAACAAAATGTACACAATTAAGAAGGGATCTAAGGAATGTTAGCTATTCACAAGATTCAACATCATAGGGCAATAGTGCTCTAATTCCAGTCTCACATGGCTCTTTAAGATCCCAAGTAGAAAAATTAACAGAGGCACTAAGTTCAGAGACAGGAGAAATTACTGTACACTTGCAAAATAGCTTACAAAAGAAAGTCTGAAACTCTTAGTGAAGGAGAAAAAGCAAGGAATATAAGGTGAAGAAAATTTATAAAATATGTAAAAATATAGGTGCAGGGAAAGCACATCAATCTTAAAATATTTGGGTAAAATAAAGGGCAACATTTTATAAATCACTCCAGAATCTAGATATGTGCTTGAAACTCCAGCCAGACACCTCTATTAGCATGGACAAGTAGAATCATCTTAACCTATAGAGGAGAGTTCATACCACACCAAAAAATTGGTTCTTAAAATATCACATCATAGAATTTAAGGACTGAAAGGATCGTTAATGAACACCAACTCCAGCCTCCTACTTAACATGAAAAAAGGTCCGAGGATGTTAAGAGCCTTATCCAAAGTCACTTAAAGAGATGTGGCTGAGTTGAGATCAGAGTGAGGTTTCTTATCTCCTTCAGTGGTCCCCGACCTTTCTGGCGTCAGGGACAAATTTCATGGAAGACAATTTTTCCATGGAAGGAGGATAGGGAAGTACTGGGGGCAGGGTGTGGTTTTGGGATGATTCAAGCACATTACATTATTATGCAATCAAACCTCTCTGCTAAGGATAATCTGTATGTGCAGCCACGCCCCAGTGCTAGCATCAGCCCCTCAGCTTTACCTCACATCATCAGGCATTAGTCTCATAAAGAGCACACAACCTAGATCCTTTGTATGCACAGTTTACAGTAGTTTCTGCTCGTATGAGAATCTAATGACACCGCTGATCTGACAGGAGGTGGAGCTTATGCCATGATGTGAAGCTATTCACTGGATGGCCTGCGGCTTACCTCCTGCTGTGTAGCTCAGTTCCTAACAGGCCATGGACCAGTGCTGGCCTGGGGGTTAGGGACCACATTCCTAGATCACAGATTAGCTCATTCCACTAAGCTAAATTGCTTCCCACACATAAATTGCATGTTTTAAACAGTATTTTGTTTCTCTACTCACAATGAACCTGCATATGGTGAAACTCTGATGGCAGATAATGGTCTATACAAATCACATTTATTCATTCATTTGATAAACATTCATGAAGTTGTTTCTTTGTGAAAGGTGCCAGAGATACGCTATGAATGAAAGGGACACAGTCCTTGCCTACACTGAAGTTACAGACTATTCAAATGACTGATGAATGAGACACACATTTGAGATCAGTCACTGATTTGCAGTGAAACATGAATTACTAGTATTTGGTCAAGTTTCTGATAAACAGAATGTCTTGGATATCATCTTGTCCAACTTCTTCATTTTACAAACAGGACACTAAAGTACTAGGCAGTTAAGAGACTTGCCCAAGGTCATTCAAGTGAGCAAGTCATAGGGCCCCAACTCGACTCCACATATGTAGAGTCCTAAGTAAGGATTTAGCAACTTCAACTCTTACCTTCATAAGGGAAGATACGCTTGTTCCCCTTAACATATAAGCAGGAAAAATCAAGTATAAAGCAATTAACTGATTTGCTCAAAGTCCTAAAAAAACTGAAATGTGACTGAGCTAAGGATACTGTACCATTAATGTTTGTTTTAAAATATGTCCATCTTTTGATTTATGTAACATTTAGATTCCCTAATAGTAAAAGATTTTTAAAATTGTAAGTCACAATATTCTCAAAAGAAATAATGAAAAGGCCAGGGACCAATATTTTAAAAATCATGCCCCTTTTTATCATATTGCCTTAATATTAATATAAACAGTAAGTAAAAATATTGTTAAGAATGCAGTTAATGTACAACCTATTGCAAACCTCAAAAAAAAAAAAAAAAAAAAAAAAGAATGCAGTTAATGGGTAGGAAGCAACTTCATGTAGTGGAATGAGCTACTCTAGATGAGAATCTCATTCTAATCCCAACTTGGCCATAATGCTTTGTGTTACCTTGCGTAAGGCCCAGAGGCCTTAATCCCTATGAAAGACAGATAAAAGTTCTCTAAAAAGGCCCTTGACTTTTGCTGTGTTCTCAGTAACAGACAATACACAAAAGGATAGTAATTCAGTGGGCTCTCTCACCTGGAGGCAGTCGCCTCCTCAGTGTATCCTGGCTCTCTAGACCCACCCTGGAATGACCAGGGCTTTGGGCCTCCTGGATTACTGCAGCAGATGGCTCCTGAGAAGCTCCAGTTCTGTCACTCACTTCCTCAGGGAGGGCTGCAGAGCTGCTCTCTAAGTGTACATCTGCTCTTCCTTCCTTATCACTTGCAGAATGGTCAGGATCTGGATCCAAGGGTTCTTCACACAGATTTTCTGAAGGGACGTGATGCCCTTGTTTTCTATCCTGAAAACTCTGGTTGTTCTCATGTTCTGTTTTTTCCTTTGGAGAGTCCCCAAAATTTGTTTCATCTGGACTTTCTGATTCATCAACTGTATCTGCACTTTCTGGATTTATTGTCTCTATCCCTTGGTGCTCTTTGTTAAGACCAGAGGCAGGGTGTGGAGTCTGAGCTTCTTCAATGGTACTTGCTGTGATTGTGGTCTCCTGTGCCTGAGAATTTATTGATGGATCATTTTCCGAATACTTTTGAGAGTCTATGAGATAAAAATATATAATTAATGAAAAATAATTTCCCATATTTTTGTACTTTGACAAGGTCCCTGATTAATAATATTTATATAGATTTTCATGGTTTACAAGGCACTCTTCCTAAACATTATTTCTCTTGGCTCCCTCTAAAGGTGATTAAAACAAATTTATTATCATGTTAATAAACTCAACAAATAATGCTAATATAAAACAATTCTGAGTGACAGAACCAACTTTTCATTATATTAAATATATCTTCCTCCCTAATGAAAGGCAATGATCATCAATGGCAGCTAAAACCATTATGCAAAAGGCTGATGGGGAATTTTATAATGGATGAACCAGACTGACAACTGCTAAACCTATGGATCAATATCACAAAAACAGGGAAAAACCAGTTGTCATTAACCTCCCAATACAATGCATTAAGAAGTATACTACTAGATCACCTGTTAAATATTCTTCCCACATAACTGCACTTGAATCTGATAAAGCTTCTAGAACTACCAGCTTCTAAGAAATATAGGGATAAAGAAATATACTAAATTATGCCTCAAGAATGTAATCAGTAAAACCCAGAATGGGGCAAACTTCAATAGACAAAACACTGTGTTTCTTTAATAATGGCAGGAAATAAAAATAAATGGCAAGAAAAGGGAAGAAAAGGAGGGGTAACCTATGGATTGAGACTCAAGAGACACATGAACCAAATACAATGTGGACCATAATGTTTAAATCCAATTTAGAACCAATCATTAAAGAAACACGAGACAATCAAGGATATCTGAATGCCAGATATGCCTGGCCTCAAGCTATCCGCCCTCCTGGACCTCCCAGAGTGCTAGGATGAGCCACTGAGACAGCCAGAAATGTTCTGTAAGATATTTTGGTTATGTTTAAAAAAAAAAAAAACAATCTATCTTTTGGAGATGGAAGCTAAAGTACTTACAAATAAAATAAAATGATATTATGTCTTAGATTTACATTAAAATAATCCAGGGCAGGCAACAAGATCAGCATTATATTGGTAATAGCTGAAGCTGGATGTTGAGTACATGAGGGATTCATTATACTGTTCTTTTATAATACTTAAAAACTTCCATAATGAAAAGATTTTTTGTTTTTGTGGGTTTTTTGAGGCGGGTGCAAGCTATGGGGGTGGGCTCATTTCGCTACATTGTCCAGGTTGGTTGTGAACTCCTGGGTTCAAGCGATCTTCCTGCCTCGGCATCCTGAGCAGCTGGGGACCACAGGCACAAGTCACTGCACTCAGCCAATAAAAAGAGTTTTAAATAAATGTCCTTTCTCTTCTGAAAAACCTATATCATATTTTACCTATATCTCTTATATAAACATATAAAGCAGGAAAAAGAACTTAAGTTTCACTCTTACCTATAACTGAAATATCCCCTCTAAATATAGCAGTTTTTTAAATTTTTATTTTATACATCTAAAGATCTATCAGCTTTTTCTTTTTGAGACAGAGTCTCACTTTGTTGCCCAGGCTAGAGTGAGTTCCGTGGCATCAGCCTAGCTCACAGCAACCTCAATCTCCTGGGCTCAAGCGATCCTCCTGCCTCAGCCTCCCGAGTAGCTGGGACTACAGGCATGCGCCACCATGCCTGGCTAATTTTTTTTTCTATATATATTAGTTGGCCAATTAATTTCTTTCTATTTATAGTAGAGACAGGGTCTCGCTCTTGCTCAGGTTGGTTTTAAACTCCTGACCTCGAGCACTCTTCCCGCCTCAGCCTCCCAGAGTGCTAGGATTACAGGGGTGAGCCACCACCCGGCCTCTATCAGCTTTTTAAAAGATGCATTACATTTTTCCAGTATTACAGGTCCCTACTATTGGAGTCTCTAAAACAATTATGTTCCTTACATTATAATTAGGGTCTGGTATTATAGTAAAATTCAGTAAATATTAAATAATAATAATACAAATTAATCCACTGAATTAGCTTTTTTACTTCAAAGCTTCAGGTTCAGTCATCAGAGATTCTCTCTCTTAGCACAGCCTATTTTCCTGCAGCACAAACGTCCATGCTGTATAAACTAGTCTTACTCTCTTGAGGCTCCCGAAGTCCACTGTCGGTCATGTTTGTGTTCTATCTCTTCAGAATCTGGGGTAGTTTTTTAGTGTCTGATTTTCCTTGTGAAGATGTCTTGTTTTCTTCTTGTCCCAAGTCCCAACAGACTCATGCTTCCAGGAAACAAGGCATACATACAGTGACTAAAATAAAATGAAAAAAATTAATTGACTTTTTATTCATACAAGGGGGAAATGCCAATTTCACTTTTATTAAATTTGTTTAGTTTGAGGAATGTTTCCTCTCTGAAACTTTTTTAGTAAAGAAAAACTGCTTTTCATTGTCATGAGGTTCTTACTCCAAATTGTAGACCAAAAAAAAAAAAAAAAATCGATACAGACTATTATTATCCTTGCATGGACATCATAATCTCTTAATATATTCCAGTATAGCTGAAAGAGTATAAAAAATTAGATCAAGTGTCTAGAATCGTAAAGAGAATAGACTGGCATGGAAGTTAAAAAAAATTCTAAGATTAGGCCGGGCATGGTGGCTCATGCCTGTAATCCTAGCATTCAGGGAGGCAGAGATGGGTGGATTGCTCAAGGTAAGGAGTTCGAAACCCGTTTCTACTATAAATAGAAAGAAATTAATTGGCCAACTAATACATATAGAAAAAATTAGCCAGGCATGGTGGTACGTGCCTGTAGTCCCAGCTACTCAGGAGGCTGAGGCAGGAAGATTGCTTAAACCCAGGAGATGGAGGTCGCTGTGAGGTAGGCTGACGCCATGGCACTCACTCTAGCCTGGGCAACAAAGTGAGACTCTATCTCAAAAAAAAAAAAAAAGAAATCAAAATCAGTAGTAATTTATAAGCAACAAGAACTGAGTATCATTTTATAGTTAAATATTATTTTTTGTCAAAAACAAATTGATCACTAAGTTACTTAACTTTCACTGCCTGTAAAAACAAGATTAAGGATTGTTATGAGGATTGAAATTCAAAAATATGTATTTCAGAGCTTTGTGAAGTGTTACATTTTTTTGATAGCCTAGATAAGGGGCTGGCTAGCTAACTAGCAACTTTGTGTTTTTCTCATAGTACTCTTAATTTTACCAATTAAAAATTCTGATCCCAAATGGCCAGCATAGTACCTAGTGTATAGTAGGAACTCCATATTTTAATTTAAAAGAATATAAAACATGAATGAGGCCGGGCGCTGTGGCTCACGCCTGTAATCCTAGCTCTTGGGAGGCCGAGGCGGGCGGATTGCTCAAGGTCAGGAGTTCAAAACCAGCCTGAGCAAGAGCGAGACCCCGTCTCTACTATAAATAGAAAGAAATCAATTGGCCAACTGATATATATATAAAAAATTAGCCGGGCATGGTGGCACATGCCTGTAGTCCCAGCTACCAGGGAGGCTGAGGCAGAAGGATCGCTCGAGCCCAGGAGTTTGAGGTTGCTGTGAGCTAGGCTGACGCCACGGCACTCACTCTAGCCTGGGCAACAAAGCGAGACTCTGTCTCAAAAAAAAATAAAAAATAAAAAATAAAACATGAATGACAGCCGGGCGCAGTGGCTCACACCTGTAATCCTAGTACTCTGAGAGGCCGAGGTGGGCGGATCACTCGAAGTCAGGAGTTCGAAACCAGCCTGAGCAAGAGCAAGACTCCGTCTCTACTATAAATAGAAAAGAAATTGATTGGCCAACTAATATATAGAGAAAAAATTAGCTGGGCGTGGTGGCACATGCCTGTAGTCCCAGCTACTCAGGAGGCTGAGGCAGCAAGATTGCTTGAGCACAGGAGTTTGAGGTTGCTGTGAGCTAGGCTGACGCCAAGGCGCTCACTCTAGCCTGGGCAACAAAGCGAGACTCTGTCTCAATAAAAACCAAAAAAACACATGAATGAATATATGAATAGTGATGGTGTATGTAAACTGGAAGAGAAGAGTTAAGGACAGACCCTTCTTTCTGGTGGTATGAACACTTAGAAATGCCTCAAATCTGGAGAGTTCCTTGTCATCCCTTTTAGATTTGGATGAATATAAAAAAGGAGTAAAAGAAGCCACCTATAAAAGTGTATGTCAAATGATTCCATTTACATGAAGTTCTAGAATAGGCAAATGATTACGATCAAAAGTAACAGAAAACAGATTAGTAGTTACCGGAGGAAGGAGTATGGATTGGAAAACAGCAAGGAAACCTTTATGAGGTTATGAAATGTTTCATCTTTACTGAGGTGGTGGTTCCATTTGTCATCAAACTTAAAATCTATACGTTTATTGTATGTAGATTATCCTCAATAAACTTTATTGAAAACAAACAACTGAATACTTTCAAAATGTATTACTTAGTTACAAGGTTAAAATAAAAAAGAATCTGCAAAGGAGCCAGACAGGTATTTCTCTAATCTTACAAATGCTTGACATAACACCTTTCCTGTCACAAAGCACATAGCAATTCTGTAGCTCACTTCATTTAGACTCTTGGAAACGTATCAGCACTGTTCACTGCTGCAAAGAAGCGGGACAAACAAGAAGTTACTTGATGCATCCTCACAAAAAGTCACATGGTAGGATATCGGAGAGATCTGGAAGGCGCTTTCCAGAGGCAGGTCAATCTTCTGAACAGTATCCAATCCCTACCAGGAAATATGTTCATTAGGAACCTGAGTGCTGGACTGTATAATGGAAGTGAGGCACAGCCTCATCCTGATGGAAAATGGAGTTGCTGGGACTTTTTGTAGCTGTAGAAAAAAATCATTCCATAACCATGAATGAAAAAAGATATTTTTGATGATATTTTTTGAAATAAGGATATGATGAAGACCTGTGGGCTGCACAAAAGACACTTATTTTAGTGAATCCCTTACAAGTTTAATTGTGAAATGTTGGTTTTCAGTGCCCCATAGGTGGAGGTAATAAAGATTCATTTTTCTACTTAAAAAAATTTAACCCCAACAATGTCATCTCCACTTCCCTATGACCCTGAAATCTGCAACAAAACTTACATCCTTTTGCTTTGTCTCCATCAGGGCTTGTAACAGGTTAAAGCCATAGGGTTTTATTCTCCATTTATGCAGAATGCACTAAATTGTAGGCTGAGGATGTTTTGCTTAATTCAACTTCCAGGAACTTCTCTAAAAGAGGGACACAAATTTGCCTCACTGTTCCCTCTGCAAACATGAATGCCCTGTTCTCTTTTAAGATTTACCCTTTCTGCCTCATCTCACTGGGCAACAGTAAATGCTTTGACAATATAGTAGGTGCCACTGTGTGGTATACCAAACACCCTTTGCATAACAGTCACATAACCAAGTTTAGGAGTCTCCAACACATAAAATTAAGGCTTCTAAGGGTAACTGCAAATTAATACATATTACATGAAAAAATATGAACTTGATGCTAAGAAACTTTTGAAAGTATTCCATTCTTTCTGTCACCGTGTGCATTGTTTACATATATGTAAATTTATAATATAAATAAATAAATAAATGGAAAGGGTACACATCAACTCCCATTTAGTGCTTGCTTCTCCAAGAGCAAGTGGATTTCAAAAGTATAAATTTCTTTAAAAATAAAAAGAACTGAGGTTAACTATGGCAAAATGTTAATGTAGTTTAGATCTAGGTACACAGGTGCTTGTTATTCTCTGCATTTTTCTGTATCTTTGATGTAGATAATGATTTTTTTAAATGAGTAATAAAATATATTAGCCTCTGTAGGAAAAGTATGAAAAGGAACGGTAACTCTTTGGGCCCACATACAATGACCTCACATTACAGAGGTACATTTCCACCACAGCCTCCTATATATTTTGTCACAAGCAGCTGGGAGGATATAGGACAAGGAAAAGCTGTCTGTGAGACAAGATCAGGGCTGAGAGCGCAGCAGGACCGTACCCATTCTCTACTCCATCCAGTAAATTGCTAGTGTTGCCATGGGGACCAGCAAAAAGAAGGGGAGAAGAAAACCTAGGGAAAACCTGGGGAGAAAGGAGTAGTTATCAGGAAACACAAAGATTTAATTTTTTTTAACAGAGAAGGAAATTATAAGTTTAGCAACTAAGAAAACCTAAAAAGAATAATTAATTCCAGGATGGCAGTTTAGATGTAAATGCTATCATGACTAATGTAGGCAGTCAGGGTACAAGTATGTATCTTTATTTTTAAACACTTTATTTTTAAACACTTTATTTTAGTGAATGATGCCATTTTAAGCTCTAGGGATAAAAAGAAACAAATCTTGACCCTCAAACAATTTATAATCCTGCTGTGGAAAAAAGTAACATATAAAGCATACACAATAACTATAAAATCTAATATTTATTGAATGCCTTCTTCATGCCAGGCAGCATTCAAAGCACTATGTATTAACTCATTTAATCTTCATAACAATCTTATGAAGTATGTACTATTAATATTCCTACTATTTTACAGATAAGGAAATTGAGATGTAGAAAGGTTAAGAACCTTACCCAAGAACATACAACTGCTAAGGGCAGAGTCAGGATTTGAACTCAGGTAGTCTGGCTGTGGGACCTAAGATTTTCACCATGACACCTTAAAAAAGCTTATATTAAACACACTACAAAGCACTCTGACTTTAGAATACTTAAATCTAGGTTTTAATTGTGACTCTAGCATGTATGACCTGAGTAAATTTGCGCATATCCTTCAACCTTTCTCAACCTGTTTATTTTAGGGCTATGGAAAGCCTCAAGTGATGCAATTACATCTACTGTAATTAAGATTTTAAATGGATCTAAATAATTTGACAAGGATCTACCTTGGGTCCATCCATCCCTCCAGGCCTCTTGATCCTTATACCTAAGACCATTTGACACAATATAGGCTCCACCTTAGTCCCAAGACCAAGCTTGTCCTTCACTGGGAGAGATTTAACAAGTTTTTAATTCAGCACCACATTCTAATGACTGGCTTTAATCCCTGTTGTAAGACTCTACATTATTTCCTAGTTCTAACTTTTGCCTTTTTGCCCTGTACCTTTCCTAGTCCTACAGATTTACTATGTGTCATGATTGGTATATGCTAATACATTTAAACCCCACAGCAGTGTAAGGTAGGTATTATTACACAACCTATTTTATAGATGAAGAAAATAGATACAGAGAGGTTAAAATGCCCAAGTCATTTAGTAGTGTTAGAATTAGAATACAAACCTATTCACAGATGAAGAAAATAGATACAGAGAGGTTAAAATGCCCAAAGTCATTTAGTAGTGTTAGAATTAGAATACAAATCTACGGGGTAGGAAGGGCATGGGCAATATACGTAACACCTTAACATTTGTACCCCCATAATATGCTGAAATAAAAATATAAAATAAAAATAGGGCGGGCGCGGTGGCTCACGCCTGTAATCCTAGCACTCTGGGAGGCCAAGGCGGGCGGATTGCTCGAGGTCAGGAGTTCAAGACCAGCCTGAGCAAGAGCGAGACCCCGCCTCTACTATAAATAGAAAGAACTTAATTGGCCAACTAATATATATAGAAAAAACTAGCCGGGCATGGTGGCGCATGTCTGTAGTCCCGGCTACTTGGGAGGCTGAGGCAGGAGGATCCCTTGAGCCCAGGAGTTTGAGGTTGCTGTGAGCGAGGCTGACGCCACTGCACTCACACTAGCCTGGGCAACAAAGTGAGACTCTGTCTCAAAAAAAATAAATAAATAAAAAAAATAAAAATAAAAATAGGCTGGGCATGGTGGCTCATGCCTGTAATCCTAGCACTCTGGGAGGCCGAGGCGGGCGGACTGCTCAAGGTCAGGAGTTCGAAACCAGCCTGAACAAGAGCGAGACCCCATCTCTACTATAAATAGAAAGAAATTAATTGGCCAACTAATATATATATATATGCAAAAAATTAGCCGGGCATGGTGGCGCATGCCTGTAGTCCCAGCTACTTGGGAGGCTGAGGCAGGAGGATCCTTGAGCCTGGGAGTTTGAGGTTGCTGTGAGCTAGGCTGATGCCACTGCACTCACTCTAGCCTGGGCAACAAAGTGAGACTCTGTCTCAAATAAAAATAAAAAAAACCTAGCTAGTGGCATGGTCATTATTTTTCCTCTACAAAAAGCAGTTTTCAAGCTCTGTCCCAAAAATTCCATGGAGAATCAAGGGTTGCCACAGGAGACTAGAGAGATAAAAGGACTATGGCTCATCTTACTTTTACAGACAGCTATGATATGCGGATTGCCACATAGTGTTTGGATGCCATGGACTTACATTTGCCTGCGCTTTCTCCTCCTATAACTTAGTGATGAATCTTACCTCAGCAACCCATACCCCATGAGAAGCCCCACCTTTTTGGTGGATGTATTTTCTTCCCAGTCTGCCTCAGCATGTTTCCATTAACCCTTCCACTCCCAGGTCTGCCATAAAATAACAGGAAGTAGTTATAATGGTCATTTTAGAATTGCTACCATTATGTATAATATTATCAATTCTTTCACACTATAAAGAGACTAATATGACTTACACAATTTAAAACACCAGATAACCCCCAGACCATTTGTTGTTAGAATTACTTTTAAAAACACGGTACTTATATTTCAATAAAATTAATTATTCATATCAACTATGGAGTATTCTAGAACCTGCAATATTTTAAGCCACGTGAAGTCATACTAAAAAGATTTAAGCTGCAAAGCCATCCTAAATTTTCTCCTTTGCTCAGTTTTATGAACTCTACATGATGCTAGTTTTTGAGAACTAGCCATGTAACAGGTACAATAATATAATCATGTTTGAAGGTCAGGTACCCTTAATATTAAAATCAATATATTTTATCCCTTTCTCTTGCCTATATACTCATGTAGCCAATGACACCAAACAGAACTTTTTGTGAGGGCTAGAACAGTTCTGATTAGTGTAATTAATGAGGAAAAACATGGCTGTGCTATGACCTAAAATATCAACAGTGATCTTCAGTTTGACATGAAACCTCTTTAAATGTCATCAGGACAGGAAAAATACAATAAATATTATTACCTTGCAATATTATGAGTCTCAGCTCCCATTTCTTTAAAGCCAGGTAAGTAAACACTATGGATGTGCTACTAGTTTCTCAAAGTACGGTCCATAGAGCATCTGCATAAGAATCTCCTGAGGTGCTATTTATAATATGCAGATTCCCAGGCCCGACAAACCACCTAAGAAATCAAAATTTCTATAGTAGTAAATCAAGAAATCTGCATTTTTAAATAGCTCTCCAAGGTACTGCTTAGGAATCGGATTTGAGAAATCAATGGTATAAGTCCTTTTAAACTGACCTTACTATTTAAAGGAGAGATTGGTTAAAATAAAGACTTTTCTCTATTTTGCTGTTTAAAATTTCACACATATATAGTGTTTCTTAGTGTGTGTCCTTGTAGCATAAGCATTCTCTAATAATTGAAAAAATTTAGGAGACAATAATATTGATCACAATACAGTCCTCAAAAGCACTATCGCAAAGTAAATTTTTACTTTATAGGAAGAGCTTTAGCATAGTGAAGGAGTTCTTAATTTTTGGTTAATGACAAACTAACTAGTCTTCACTCAATTTAGCAGCCCACACAGTTTATTCAGCAATATAACAGGAAAGAACCTCCATCATAATAGACATAAGGCAGGTACAAGATGGATCTCTGGGGTACATTCTTTATACAGACCAACAAATAACTTAAGGTTTAACAACATGTGGCAAGTATAATTTGTTGCACACCAACAGTCATTCATTTCCCACTTCTTTCTACCTAAAAAGCCTGGATTTTATGGGTGGAGGCAATGCGTCCTATCCAGGCAACACTAATCCTGTTCCCCTCCTTTCCCAGGCTCTCTTGGGAACCAGTACCTTCTAATGAGATGTTAAGAAGAAACCTGCTATGGCCAGGCGAGGTGGCTCACCCTTGTAATCCTAGTGCTCTGGGAGGCCAAGGCGGGCGGATTGCTCAAGGTTAGGAGTTCAAAACCAGACAGAGCGAGACCCCATCTCTACTAAAAATAGAAAGAAATTAATTGGCCAACTAATATATACACAAAAAATTAGCCGGGCATGGTAGTGCATGCCTGTAGTCCCAGCTACTCGGGAGGCTGAGGCAGAAGGATTGCTTGAGCCCAGGAGTTTGAGGTTGCTGTGAGCTAGGCTGACGCCATGGCACTCGCTCTAGCCTGGGCAACAAAGCGAGACTCTGTCTCAAAAAAAAAGAAGAAACCTGCTATGAACTTTGGGGAAAGACTTTATTGCCAAATAAAAGATAGACTTGAAAGGAAAAAGCCTTTTGCTTCCTACTTCTAGCCTTTGCCTGGGATTAAATTATCTGGTACAACAACGATATTGTACTCATTGAAGAAACCACCATAAGGACAAAAAGCAAACATGACAAGGATCCCAGGGAAAGACGGAAAGAACTTGGGTCCATGATAACATTGTTGAGGTAACATACTAGCACTAGATACCTAGCATATTAAGTGTAATTTAAAAATTGTTCAGTGGCCTCTGAGTTGTTTTCAATAGCTTTTTCTAGGTATTTAACCCCAACTCTGGTTCCATGATTTTCATAAACAAGAAAAATCCAGAATGTGGCCAATATTCAGCAAGACCTTGTTAGTTCTAAGAAAGATGCTTTCCGTAGACTGTTCATAATACATATGGAGTTAGGCTCGATAATTCCTTTCATCATATATCTCCTATAGGTACTTTTCCATTTCCAGGGGAGGACATTGTAAATTCACTCATCACAAAGGTCAGTCTTTGTTCATGTAGAGCAAAGTGCAGACAGGTGGCATATTTCTGCATGTTTTTACACAAGCTAGGCATGTGCTGCCTAATACAATGTGACTTCTCTGACAGTGACCAGTTATCACTATCACAGCCACACTGAGGATGGGCCAGAGTCAATGATGAATAAATGGTTATATATTGATATATATATAAATATATACCATCACTGATCAATGTATAAGATGTGGAATTTGGAACGTAATTCTTATTAAAATTTACTGGAATAATCTAGGATCCAGGTTCTATGAGAATGCTTTCCCACAAAAGTTACCTTTAGAAATACCACTATGCAGCACGCACTGTGGGGCCTCCCTTCTAGGACTACCTTATCCTTTGTCAATAATTAGGCTGTGGAACTTTTTAGGAGTGGCAAGATAGTTCAAAACATTGCTTATAGGGAATATGGATTAGTCTAGCTGTAGATGAACAATCTGGCTTGAATACTGACTAAACTCATGCTGAACAAAATTTGTGTAGGCCACAGAAGCAGATCCAATGATTTAAGCAGATCCCCAAAGTAAGTGACAGTGTGGGTCAGAGTTAGAAATGAGTTATTTTTCCCATCTTCCTTGGGCTACTAGCACATAACCCCCTAGAACTTGATGATTTTGACTGTTAGAGAAGTCATTTGCTTTGGCCAAGTTTTTTATTTAAGGTTTTGTCCGTTCTGGTCAAGATTAACTGTAATGCAGGGTTAAAACCAGCTAATCTAGAGTCATGTATTCTTTTTCTAACCAGTGGAGGACCCAGAAGAAATGGATGGCAAGCTTTTTCAAAGGTCCACCTGGTGAGATTTTGGGGAGCCCACTCAAGTGGGAAAGACCATGGAAGAACAAGGCTTCTATTGGCAGGATTATCAGGATAACACTCAGGGCAATAATCAGCTCTGTTAATACGGTCTAAGAATACTTGGTAACATTCATTTTCGACAAGTTCAGTTTGGTACAACCAATGGCCTAGTTCTAAACTAGGGAACCACTGTTGTCCACAATCAGGGCAATGTGAATTATCTGAGAACATCTGGATCTAGAAAGACAACACAGGAAGCAATATAACAGCAAGAGGCAACAATGGCAAAGAGAGACACCAAAATAACCAGTCCTGATACAGGTTTGGTTTAGCAATTTCTCAGTTCAACCAACATTACTTGGAGAGGGCTAAATTTGGCTTGCACCTCTGTGCGATTCTTCAAGATTTCGTTGTCTATTTTTCACTCAATGGCAACCCAGTCTCTGAACTCAGGGACCAATCCAGTCTATGTTATCAGTCACTTATAATGTTATTAGTCACTTACTAGCAGCCCAGATCTCAGAATAGCTCCTTCAAATCCCAGCTTCTCAGGAAGAGATAGGCTCTAAGCTCAATTAGTTATTATTATTATTTTTTTGTTATCAGCTGGTGGTGGTATCACACAGAGGCACTTGGCTTACTCTGCTTTCTTGATAAAATTATTATGTTTGCTTGGTGAAACAGAGGAGCTGACAGGTCCAGTGGCTCTTTTGTTGGTGTTGGCACTCTTGCCGTTGTAATACATGTACCCAAGTCTTAAGGCCTTGGCACTTTACAGTGATGTAGGGGGGTCAGGAAAACCTGGCAGAGTCCTCTTGAGTGTAGATCCAATGAAGTTTGTCTTGGGAGGACCTTAATGAGGACCCAGTCACAGAGGAGGAGCTGATGTTGAGTTGGCTGGAGATCTGGGAATGCGTCACATACCTGTAAATGATAAAACTTCAGACGACTCATATGGGTTTTGCAGTTGCTCACAATATTATTAGAAACATGCATTTAGAAATTATTTGGGTCAGTCAAGGTGGATGAGAAATGTCTCATGGGTTACCCCATGACAATTTAATATGGGTAAAAACCAATTTATCTGTTGAGAGTTATTCTTATGCTCATATGAGCACTAGGAAGAGTTCCAGATCATTTAAAATTTGTACTAAGATTAGCTTATTTTGTTTTAGGACTGTATTTCTTCTACTCCCTTTGCACACTGGGAACAGTCTGTGTAATCATGTTTAATGTGGCAAAACTTTGAGGTCTCCTGTATGTATTTTCTGTGAAATGGGTACCATAAATGGTATTCCCATAATGTATGGGATAACATTAACAATGACAACTTTTCCCTAATAGGTCTCAATCCACCCAGGAAAAAAGCTTACAAAATTATTACATAATATTCTTAAAAGCTAACCATAGGAAGATGGATGAAATCCTTCTAAACACTAAAAAAGAAAAGAAGAGGGGGAAGTCTCACTACTCACATTTATCTTTATTGCTTTATGTACATTGTCAGTTTGAGAAGGCATGTAAGGCATAGTCCTGAGTAGTTCTGAGTTATTCTTGGAAAATAAATAGTAAATCAGTTAGAATTTACAGATGCCATCATTGTCTTTGTACTCCCCTTCATGACAGTGAATGTAGTATATAAACAAGGTGGGGCAGCAGGATGTATGGAACAATTAGATGGCCACATAGAGTATATCACAGATTACCAGATTAAAATATATATCCTGACTTTCTAGTGTTCTTTTTGTAAATTCTCAGGATCAATCCCATGAGGGTAAGAAGGGACATGGGGAGGGTGTAGGTATTAAAACTGTATAAAGATCTGGCCTGAAAAATAGTAGTTACAGCCTTAGTTGTGGTCAGCCAAAGTATTACCCTTACAAACTATTAATAATGGCTTTGAGCCAGGCATGGTGGCTCATGCCTATAATCCTAAGATTCTGGGAGGCCAAGGCAGGAGGATCACTAGAGGTCAGGAGTTTCAGACCAGCCTGAACAAGAGTGAGACCCCGTCTCTACTAATAATAGAAATAAATTAGTGGGACAACTAAGAATATATAGAAAAATTAGCCAGGCATGGTGGTGCATGCCTGTAGTCCCAGCTACTCGGGAGGCTGAGGCAGCAGGATTGCTTGAGCCCAGGAGTTGGAGGTTGCTGTGAGGTAGGCTGACGCCACGGCACTCTAACCTGGGCAACTGAGTAAGACTCAGTCTCAAAAAAAAAAAAAAAAAAAAAAAAAAATTGCTGTGATTTTCAGATTTTAAAATGACAAGTTTAAAAGTCAACTGAAGAGCCTCTGACAGTACTACAACATGGGGCTCATGTTTTCATGGGTGCCCCAGAGGAGGTGAAATAGTGCATATACTGACGTGTTTTTTGAAGTTAGGTAACAATGTGTGGGTGAGGGCTACCAATTTAGCTCCTCAGGCATTGTGGACAAAAAGTAGGGTTCCTGACTGGGCAAAAGAGTGAGACTCTGCCTCAAAAAAAAATAAAAAAATAAATAAAAAATCAAATTTTGGATTTTTAGAATGAAAGCAGGGAAATGCAAATAAGACCACAGCAAGGTATTATTTCATATCCACCAGAGTAGCAAACATTAACATGTTTGAGGATGGGGATTTGACATACAGTAGAAATCACCCCTCCCCCAGGACTTCACTGGCAAGAGTCAAGAGAAAGCCCTCAAATTCCAAGTGCTCAGAATAACTCCATCCTTCACCCTACTTTCATTTCTCCAACTTCAAGAGTCAAACAAGCACCAGAGCTCAAAGTATTACTGAATCAAGAAAACTCCACTGTTCCATATGTTCCAGACAAGATAACCCTTCGGCTGGGCCCTTGAAACCACTATAGGCAAGAGCCAGAGCTTCAAGTGCTCAGAGTAACACCACCCTTTTAACAGCCTCCCCCTCACTCATTCTTTAGCCTTATCACTACCGAATGAGCAGTGAAGAAAAGGTTACCAGCAACTGCCCTAGGCAAGATTCCCAAATGCCACTCCGACCCCAACATTCACAGCTTCTATACCATTATCTACTCGAAAGCATCAGGACCAATCTCATACCTCTATCTGTTCAAGTCATCACAACAGGAAGCCCAAGACTTCCTAGCAATATTTCTTCCCTTTAGTCTCTAATAATCCATATGGTTCTAACAGCAGTGAGATAACACCCGCTCCCCATGCTTTATTTTTTTTTCCATAAACATGTACCACTTTGCTATATTACATTTTACATATTTTAGCTATTTTTCTCCACTAAAATATAAACTCTCTGAGAGGATTTTTTGTCTTATTTACTGCTACAAATATCCAATAAATATTTCTTGAATGAATAAAAGGCAAAAAGAAAGCACAACTTGAATCCTTATATTCTTATGACAGAAGTGTAAATTAGCACAACCACTTTTGGAATTAATTTGGCATTATCTAGCTGAATAGGTACATTTCCTAAAACTCAACAATTCCACTCTTAGGCATATACCCTAGAGAAACTTACATATGTGCATTTGAAAACATGAATAAAAATATTCATTGTAGCACTGTGTAATAGCAACATAATAGCCAGAAAGTCCATGAACAATAGAATGGATAAACACAGGGATTGCCATCAATGGGACACTGGATATATAGACATAGATGAAACTTAAGAATGTTGAGCTTAAAAAAAAAGTAGCAAAAGGAAAAAATACACATATGCACCCCCCCCCTTCTTTTTTTGAGACAGGGTCTTGCTCTGTCACCCAGGCTGGAATGCAGTGGCACAATCACAGCTCACTGCAGCCTCAAAATCCTGGGCTCAAGCAATCCTCTTGCCTCAGCCTCTTGAGTAGCTAGGACTACAGAAGCACACCACCACACCTGGATAATTTTTAAATTTTTTATACAGACAGCGGTCTCCCTATGTTGCCCAGGCTGGTCTTTAACTTCTGGCCTCAAGAGGTCCTCGCAAAGTGCTGGGATTACAGGTGTGAGCCACTGTGCTGGCCAATGCACACATTCTTAAACTTCCCACTTACATAAAGTTTCAAAGGCATGTAAAATTAACATATTGTTTAGGAATAAATATGCAATAAAGCTAGAAAGAAAAGAAGGATAAGCCCAAAACTCAAGATAATTATTACCTATGATGGAGAGGAAAGTGGATGGGATGGGGAAGGCATCCAAAAAATTTCAAAGATACTTGTAATTTTTTTTTCTTTAACTGGGTGGAAGTACAAGAATGCTCACTGTATCATAAATCCTAACAGCTTACAGCATCTCTATTCAGTACTTTATAATTTAAAAATAAAAGTCGAGTGGAAACAGCAACGGGATAGAAGAGATTAATAAGCAAAACCAAATTTTCACATTGTGGACAAGAGTAGCAGCAGTTAATCTGCTCAGAGGCAAAGCATGTGACTGATATACTGGGATAAAGAGAAGCTCTACAGAAGAATATGGCTCTTTGTTTTTCTTATAAAATGGTAAGCAGGCCAGGCGCCATGGCTCATGCCTATAATCCTAGCACTCTGGGAGGCCAAGGCAGGCGGATTGCTCGAGGTCAGGAGTTCAAAACCAGCCTGAGCAAGAGCAAGACCCTGTCTCTACTATAAATAGAAAGAAATTAATTGGCCAACTAATATATATAATATAAAAATCAGCCGGGCATGGTGGCTCGTGCCTGTAGTCCCAGCTACTCGGGAGGCTGGGGCAGGAGGATCGCTTGAGCCCAGGAGTTTGAGGTTGCTGTGAGCTAGGCTGACACCACGGCACTCACTCTAGCCTAGGCAACAAAGGAGACTCTGTCTCAAAAAAAAAAAAAGAAAATACATTATAAAAAATGCTCCAGCCGGCCCGTAATCCTAGCACTCTGGGAGGCCGAGTTGGGCGGATTGCTCAAGGTCAGGAGTTCAAAACCAGCCTGAGCGAGATCCCGTCTCTACCATAAAAATAGAAAGAAATTAATTGGCCAACTAATATATATAATATAAAAATCAGCCGGGCATGGTGGCTCGTGCCTGTAGTCCCAGCTACTCGGGAGGCTGGGGCAGGAGGATCGCTTGAGCCCAGGAGTTTGAGATTGCTGTGAGCTAGGCTGACACCACGGCACTCACTCTAGCCTAGGCAAGAAAGTGAGACTCTGTCTCAAAAAAAAAAAAAAAAAAAAAAAATGCTCCTGAAAAGTCTTCAATTCATTTTGTAAAGAACTACTTTTAATTTGGCAAAGTCTTGAGATCACTAAGAGAAGGCATATAGATGACAATATTCAGTACTATTTAGCACACACACAGTTCTCTTAAGAACAGATAAGCGGAATGAAAAATGTGATCCTAGGTAGACAACAACTGCAGAATGTTCCGTTTTACCCCAAGAAATAACAAACAAAACAGGTATGTAGATGTATTGCTTGCATACTCTGGTGTGTGTGTGTGGGAGGGGGGAAATGGAGATTGTCCATAAAGGAGAACAAATGATTTAGAAATTTACTCACACTATTCTATCTGTGTTATCCTAATGGACCCA